ATATATATATATATATATATATATATATATATATATATGAGTAATGATCCAATGCAACGGTTGTATCATAGTATAATGCTACGACACTTCTAGAAAACCATGTTTGTGGTATTTGTATGACCCAAAATTTTGCACACACACTCTTTTCATTTCAATAATCAATCCCCCCCAAAAAAAAAAGTTCAATTTGAACCCTAGATATGGTCGAAATGAGTCACCTCAAAAAACAACTCTAGGTCATAAAATGGTTTTTTAAGGTCGTTGCATCATATTACTATACAACGCTTGCATGATGTCATTGAACAACTGAATTCACAATTTCGTTTGTTGAATAACCGAGGTTGTCTTTGCAATAAAAAATTCGGTTGTTTAAAAACTGAAATTGCGATTGCGAATTCCCTAAGCTCCCTAGAACTTCGCAGTCAGAAATTCGGTTGTTCAACAACCGACATTTTTGTGATTCCCAATTTCGATTGTTGAACAACCGAAATCTCAAATTCGGTTGATCAAAAACCGAAATTATGACTACGAATTCCAGAAGCTCCCTGGATCTTCGCAGTCAGAAATTCAGTTGTTCAACAACCGCAATGTTTGTGCTTTCGTTTGTTGAACAATCGAAATCCCAATTTCGGTTGCTGAACAACAAAAATTATCCCAATTTTGGTTGTTCAAAAACCGAATTTGTGATTGTGAATTCCATAAGCTCCTTGGATCTTCGCAATCAGAAATTTGGTTGTTCAACAACCAAAATTTTCAGAATTTGGTAGTTCAACATTTGAAATTTCCAAAATTGCGGTTGTTGAACAACTGAAATCACAATTTTCATTGAATCTTCTTATATTACAGTGGATTTTCATTGAATGCTCTTTTATGTTTTATTGCTCTTTTATCTTCTATTAGAATTATATTACAGTGAATTGTAACCAGATTCAGATCAACACTTAAATCACTCAATTCACACTAACACCAAATACAAGACAAGATTGACAGCACCAAAATCACTCAATTCATCCATACAAAAACACAAGATTGACAACAAATAATTCACTCTATCGGTTCTCTGCATGTCATCCTATTATGACCCATTGTGCCGCTTCGTTTGCATTTCATAAGCTTGGTGATGGGCTGCTCAGTCTTTGATCTTTTTCGTTGCTTTTTCAGTCAACCAGGAAGGCGTGTCGTCATTGGTGGCAACATTGTACGGTTCAACAAACCTGTCAACTCAATATCATCGGGGACAGGCCCAAAGGGAGTTTGAAAGGCCTTTTTAAATGTTTCCACTGTGAAATACTGAAGGCAGTATGCAGTGGGATCCAAATGTATATGGTTAATAGCCACAATCGCATGAGTACACGGTATGACACTGAGTTGCCATTTTCTACCACTGCATGTCCAATGAGTTAGATCGACAAGTAGATCTCAAGCTGTGTATCCATAGCGGATATAACTATGTAAAAAAATCTAGCCTTCATCTTTCTCAAGTTCAGTAATTCTTGGGCTTTTGATACTAGCAGGCCGCTTCAACTATCACCTAACTCCATCTTCTCTTCAAACCTGGTCATCAACTGTACCCTTATTTCTTCACACATTGTAATTATCGGTATATCTCCAACTGACATTATCCAAATATTGAATGACTCGGCTATGCTAAACGTAAGATGATTGTATCTTGTCCTTAGGAAATAGGCATCTGCCTAGTATTTGGGAGGGATTTTCTTAATCCACTCATATGCTTCAAGGTCAGCACACTGTATGTCAAACATAATTTTTTCAAACCCACTAATAGTCACTTTACGGGTAGCCTTCAAAAACAATATCAGCAATACTTCGGTGTTTGTTGTCTTCTTTATAAATCCTTTGAAATTCTCTCCCATATGTCGCATGCATAATGCTGGAAAACACGTGGGAAAACATTTTTTTATTTTTTTTTGTCGATCTGATATAATTGTTAAGGCATGCAGATTAGAAAACTCATTTAATAACTCACTTTTTATACTTAAGAACCAATATCAACTTCTGTAGTTCTTCTTCTCGACCATTGCAAATGCCAATGGAAAGAGTCCATTATTTGCATCTATATAAATGATGCACAATAATATGCCTTGATATTTTTATTTTAAGAATGTGTCATCAATACCAATTAACGACCTGCATCCATTAACAAAACTCATGATGCATGGACGATAATCAATGAATAGTCGTTTGAACTCCTTCATCTATGTTAATGCGAACTTCGACTCTTGGGTTGGTTCTTCAGAGCTTCTCCGCATACAGGGGGGTCATGATATTGTTGTTCATGTGATCCATCTATCATCTCTCTAGCTAAATCTTTTCCCTACAAAGCTTGCATGTAGGAAAGCCTAACACCATGATCATGTTGAACATCATTTACGATGTTTTTAGCTTTAATTTTTGGTTGGTCACTAAGGCGGGCTTTAATTTTTTTGCCACCCAATCACTATGAGCTATTGGCTGATGGACCCTCCCCATTGGACCACTACATGTGTATTCCTTAACCATAGATTTCACTTTGAAGTATGTCGTACTACTAACTCGTAAGCACCGCACTTGCTATGTGCATCCTTTTGCCTTACAACTTGCCCACACTTGTCCCAATTCACTTTTGTCAAATTTCAAAACAAAATTATTGTGGATTGCAAAATTAACAAGATGCCGGCATTCATTGGCACTTTCAAAATATTGCCCTATATTCAATTGAACCTCGTTACCAACTCCTCTACATGGGCTCTCTAGTGGTTCAATATCCTCCATATCACGCTCTGATACAAGCTCAGGGTTAGATGCCACTTTAATGTTTTGATCTTGATTAGTTAACGTGTTACGCAGACTATTGACAAAAGATAGAGTGTAAGATGAAACAACAATTTATATACATAAAAGAATAAAATAAAGCAAATTACAGATAAAAAAGTTAATTGTAGATATACCTATTTCTTAAAAATGAACCATCACCAATAGATTCCCGTTCTGACTCCATTGTAAAGGCACCTATTTCTTGAAAATGAACAACAATTTTAGAAGATTTTCACCCCAACATAAAATATATATCTACATCATCACTTACATCAATAAAATCAAGCCCACTAAAAAGACTTATGTTGTGGTACACAATGACTAAATTGTTTGGATCACACATTGTTAAATTACTAAAATAACTTTTTAGTTCCTCCAAATAACTATTTCCATTATACTTTGTAACCTTAAATTTTCTTCCTTTGTAAAAGATATGACCGTCGTTTGCATTTATTTCAAATGACCCCCCATATCGGAATACCAGTTGCATTCCCTCATTAACTATCGTCAATGCTATTATATTAAATGGATAATATAATTTGTGTTGTTACAATAAATTGATACAATAAAGAATACAATCAATTTAGATATTTCTAACTATTTTAGGGTTCATGAAATGTGAGTATTACATAACAAATTCAAATAGTGCACTACTATAAAAGGAAAAATAATCAATAAACAAAAAAAAAAATAACTGCTCAAAATAATCAATTGTAACAAAATTAACAAACTGCTCTGTTAATTGTAAGAAAATTAACAAAAATAATTAACAACATAAGGTAAGAGTAAGAACACCAAGCCCGACTATGAGCTAATATCGTGAGATATTGTATTGGGGGAAAGTAAAAAAGGTATGATATTGTATTTGGCTTGTTTTCCTGCAACCTTATATATATATAAAAAATTTATTACGCTAAAACGTGGGAAAAATAGGCACGAATATTTTCGGTTAATAAAAAACCGAACTCCACAAAATTTCGATTATTGAAAAACCAAAATCAAAATTTCGATTTTTGAACAACCGGAAAACTTAATTTCAGTTGTTAGGGAGAGCAATTCACATTTTTGAATGTTGAACAACCGAAATTAGATTTTCGATTGTTCAACACCTGAAAACACTAATTTCGGTTGTTCCAGCACAAGAAGGTTAAAACAGCTATTTTCGTTTTCCGTTCTTCAACCGAAAATTATTAATTCATTTCTTCGACACCGAAATCGAAATTTTGAATTATGTTATTCAACATCCGAAAATAGGTAAAATCATATTTTTTTTAAAATATCGTTGTGAAAGAGAAAAAATGAACATCCCGATGATAACGAAAACTCAAAGGTGTATCCGTAAAAAAGCATATTATAACAGGCATTAACGTAATTTTCTCAAATTCCAAATCCATTTGACCTTCTCTCTAGGACTTTTATCAAAGCTTTAAGCCCATTCTCTAAGCTTCTTCCACTCTCTCTCTAGGGCAAGTGCCCCTCCCTTAAGCATCTTCCACTTTCTCTCTAGGGCAAGTGCCCCTCCCTTAAGCATCTTCCGCGTTCTCTCTAGGGCAGGTGCCCCTCCCTTAAGCATCTTCCATTTTCTCTCTAGGGCATGTGCCCTATACGTTCCATGTCTTTCTTCTCTCTAGGGCAAAGGGCCTTTTCCCTCAAGCATCTTCCACTTTCTCTCTCTAGGGCAGGTGCCATCTTCTCTCTAGGACACGTGCCCCTAAGAGTCGTCCATCTTCTCTCTCTAGGGCAAGTGCCTGTCTCATGAACCAGGGCAAGTGGCTCTGGCTCCTTTTGAGTTCCTCCTACTTTCTCTCTCTAGGGGAATTGCCCTAAGCTTAGCGGCAGCTTCAACCACTGTTAATCTCCATGGCTACCCCTCGATTTCTTCCCCTATGTATACTATAAGAGGCCTTTTGCTTTTTTATTCGAGGGCACTTCTATGGTTCTACGGTCAATTTATCCATTTTCACACTGGGCGACCGCTATTAAAGGCCAGCATTTTTAAGGCAGAAGTCGTTTTAGGGGGAATTTCTTCCTGTTTGCAATCCCTTGAGAGCGATCTGTGCCCTAATTCGTGATATTCTGTAATTTCTGTGGAAGGATATCTTTTTCTCTGGGGGATATTCCCTGATTTATTTTTTTAGGGTTTTTTGATCCGTTTCGGTTGTGTTTATCTAGGGCATCGTATGCCCTACTTTGGTTGTGATTCTCTGTGTATCTGCTCTGAATTTGTTATATTCCAGGCACTTCTCTGGCATCCTTGCGATGAATCTGCACTTTAAACGATCTCTAGCTTTGTTTCTCTAGGGCAAATGCCTTAATTTTTTCTCTCTCTCCATTGCCTGTTGTGTTTTGCTAGGAAATCATTTGCCCTTATTCAGCATGATTCTCTAGGGCAATTGTGGTTAGTCCTTATCAGAAAACTGTAAATTTCATTCATTTCACCTATATTTCTCTAGAGCCAGTGCCCTGATTCCGTCGTATTTTAGATAGGGCATTTCATGCCGTAATCCACTGCGATTTTGTGAATAGGACCCTCAATTCCATCTATTATAGGTCATACTCCCCTGCTTTTGTGTTTTTGGGGAACCAGAAATGAGAGGCCATGATCTGATCAATACTATTTTACCAGATGAGCTCCTGATTGAGATTTTCCACCATCTTGATGGACAAAAAGAGAGCAGGGATGCCTGTTCATTGGTTTGTAAGAGATGGAGTAGGTTAGAGAGCATGAGCAGAGAAACAATAAGAATTGGAGCTTCAGGTATACCAGATTGGTGCATTTCACTGCTTGTAAAGAGATTCACGGGCCTTCGTAGTGTGTTTATCGATGAGAGGTTGCCTGTTTGTCTACAGTTTCAGACTGGGTTCTCCCATCGCGGTAATGGCCTTGTTGGCCGAATTTCCCGGCACTTTAAACCTGTAAATCTCTCTCTCTCTAGCTTGCATTTTTTTGGGTTTTGCTTCTCTGTTTGGTGGATTTTGTTGAGAACGGGTTATTTATTTTTTATTTTTATTTAGGAAATGATTAACTACTTATTTATTTATTAATGATGAAGTGAAGTGACTTTGTTGTTAAATGATATAACGATTCGTTTCCATTCTGCTTTTGAATATATTACAAATGAGAGAAACATCCCGACCAACAATACAAACTGTGTCAGCAGAAGAAATAAAATTTGATTAAATGATGTTGATTTTTAATGTTTTTTGATGGGACAACTGTTTTGGAACTTGTTCCATCTATTATCACATAAAGGAGAACACCACCACCAGCAACAACCAATGCTTCAGTAGTTCAGTGACAATAGTGGAATTTCTTTGAACAATGTTAGTTCTTAATATTTAATATTGGATAAATTCTGGTGGAATTTGTCCCATTTGTTGGAATGGTCAAAAAACGTGCAGCCACCACCACCAACAACGATATCTCTCTCTCTCTATATATATATATATATATATATATATTTATTTTTTTTTTTAATTTTTTTTTTTGAATTTTTTTTTACTTTTTAACTTTTTTAGTTTTTGAACTAGTGTTTTTTGCCTTCACTTTTTTGATTGCTGACAACCAACAAAAACAACAGTTACAGCTGCAACAATGATAACAATAGAATTTCATTGAAAGATGTTGGCCCTTAATCCCTTAAGTTGTTATTCTTATTTCTGTTTGAGAGATTGGAATTGTGACACAAGGACAGATAATATGTCAAATAAGCGAAGCCGTAAATTGTGGTCCATTATAACTTTTTCATTCAAGTTAATTTCATCCTGCCACTGATGATAGGTGTAGAGGAGAGTGTTATTAAGATACAGTTCAGAAATAAAAATATACAGCGACATTAATGTTGAAATTTAGAGGCCTGTAGCTTCTCTCATTGGGCATGGCATTCATTCCCATGAGTCTATTCACTAGGCATTTTCTAGGTTGCATTTCTAGGTTAACAATGGGAATATGGGATCTACCTACACTCCAATGATGAGCAGACATACACTTTCCATGTTTAAAAGCCCCCAATGATGTGCACAAAAAGATACACTTTTAGACTTTTTATTCCTTAAATCACCTTAAGACTTAAGAATATTTTAGGCTTCTTGAAATGATTTCGCAGCCAATCCACTTATTGAGATTTTCCTTCTCTAGATGTTAACTGCAAATAACACATTGGGATTTTTGACATAATAATTGGAAAAATGGTGCCATCAGTGTTAACTTGAGTGATTCAGCTTATTTGAAATGTTGCCTTATTGACGACTGATTTATGCATCCTTGAACTGTGAAATGGTAGTAGTCTGTTATTGCTGCGTTAATATATATATGTATTGTCAGAGTTAATCTGTTGGCTTCTTTTGTTTGCCATGGTAAATTTGCTTTTATTTCACAAATTCATTTGAAGGACCCGGATGAATTTTTCTTTTGATGCAGAGGATTACTCGTGGGAGTTCTGATGTCTTGAGCTTATTGTCAACACTTCATTATGCGCCTGAAAATAGTGGATCTGAAGAAGCTGAGCTTGAATTGTGCAGTCTCTCTGATGCTGGTCTCACTGCTCTTGCCAGAGGCTCTGCCAGGCTTGAAAAGCTTAGCTTAATATGGTGTAATGCTGTCACTAGTCAAGGGCTGAAATCAATTGCAGAAAACTGTAGAGCATTGAGAGCCCTAGATTTGCAAGTGAGAGCAATGTTTCTTGTTATTTATCTTTTATGGAGAAGCTGGTTATTGTCTTAATAGAAATTATTTGTTGTCCTGCCTTTTGGTTTTCGCTGAAATCATGCCTCTTCGGGGAAGGATGGGTACTCATTCGTATAGTTGATATATGTCTTTGGGGTAGCTTAGGGGTATGATTCGTACTTGGGATATAGTGTTGCAATCGACAACACCTTATATGATCAAGCCCAAGCTCGAATCATATGTTAAACCATAAATAAAGTTTACCTGCACCAAAAACTGCAAAAACACTTATATTATATTTTCTTTGTGTATTAATGATACGTCATTGAGTTACTCTCAAGCAATGACTATCACTTATTTAAATAAAAACATGCACCGTTAGTTGATGTTATTGACAACAATATCTATTATGGGTCAGGATTAAATCAATAACCAGAAGAAGTCTTTGGTTTCTGGCCTGTTCTGGTCAACAAGCCAAAATGGTGACCATAAAGGAATTAGAAGCAAAAGTATATCAGTTTGAAAATTCAGTATTCATTCTTATATATTAAGGTTAACGAAAAATTATAAATCCTCGGTCTCTATTTCACGCTGTGCATGTTCACCAAACATTGAGGTCGGGGTTTGGCATCCCGTTTGTATGTTGGAAATCAGCTTTTGAGTTTCAAACTTGCTTGTCTTAAAACCTATAAAATTTGGTCTTGTGATTTCAAATATGTACAGCAATGTTTTTATCTGCCACATAGACTGGGGTTTGATTCCTAGCTGGTGAAAATAAAAAGTTTTATCAGCCAAACAAATTTGTTTTGGCACCCATATTTTCACAATAAACAGAGCCTCATAATGGAGTTGCAAATATGCATGTCCCATTCTAATAGATTTTTGAACTTTGAAGTGGCCTGTCTTCTTCTTGGCTTTTTTGTTTCTTTGTCTTTTTGAATTTAAATTGTATCATTGTATGTGTGTGAACCATATGAACTTGATCTGAAATTGGTCTATAATATTCTAGACCTACTTACGCAGGGTTGCTATGTGGGGGATCAAGGTCTTGCAGCAGTTGGGGAGTGTTGCAAGCAACTTGAAGACTTGAACTTGCGGTTCTGTGAGGGTTTAACCGACACAGGATTAACCAATTTAGTAGCTGGTTGTGGACAAACATTAAAATCCCTGGGTGTGGCTACATGTGCAAGAATTTCTGATATTTCTCTGGAAGCAGTTGGGGCTTACTGCACATCACTTGAGAGCTTATCTTTGGATTCAGAATTCATTAAAACCAGTGGCGTGCTTGCTGTAGCTCAAGGATGCCAATCTTTGAAGTCCTTGAGACTGCAATGTATAAATGTCACTGATGAAGCTCTGCAAGCAGTAGGTGCTTATTGTTTGTCACTGGAAGTCTTGGCGTTATCCAGCTTCCAGAAATTCACAGATCGGTAAGTTATTTGTTCTTGGGTTCTTATTCTGATGTCTCGCCTAATTATGCAAACAATCTTCCATTTGGAACTAATTTCTTTTGTAATCTCTTTCTTTATTCCTGCCTGTTATTTTACCTTTGCTCAATAACACTAGAAGAAAATTTAATGCAATTTGTTTCAGTTCTGTGGCATGTGGTAATAAGCTCATATGATTGGCCATTTAGTTTAGGAGTCAAATCTTGTGTCGAAAAAGAAAAAGAAAAGAAAAAATCTGAACATCAGAACATAGATAATTTCCAGATATTCTAATTCTCCTTTTGCTAACATCAGGTCAATATTGTCTGCTTTTTTTTATTATGACTCAACAACACATCCATATAATTCAGCTTATTCAGCTCCTCCATATTGTTCTGCAAGGATGTTTTTGTGTGGATATTGTTATGTTTGGGTAGTGGTAATGGCTGTTGCATGGTGGAAACTTAACAGACTGTTGATAGCTGGAAAGCACAGTCGGTAGTATGAATGCACGATTGATAGCTTGAACGCACGACCGATTGCTTGAACTCATGGTCGATAGCTTGAACCCACTGTCGATTGCTTGAACTCACAACCGATAGCTTGAACTAACGGTCGATAGCTTGAACTCACGACCGATAGCTTGAACTCACGACCGATAGCTTGAACTCACGACCGATAGCTTGAACTCATGACCGATAGCTTGAACTTACGACCGATAGATCTGATTGCCCTCTCATAAGTGGAACTTGCGCTCGATACGCTTTGCACTAACTCTCATCTTGGGAAAAATTCGGCAGCACCTCCCCTAGATCGAGATAAAGCTTGGATTGTACCAGAACGCTCCTAGTACCAGTCGGTATCTTGTAGGATTCAGAATCTAGATTCGGAGGTTATATCTGGAAAAACAAAACACTCCTAGTGCCAGTCCGACTCCCATAGGAGTCGGAATATGGATTCAGAGGTTATACTATAGAAAAACGAAACACTCCTAGTACTAGTCGGACTCCCGTAGGAGTCGGAATTTGGATTTGGAGGTTACATAATGTGGCAACAAAGATCGGGATCTCGAGGCACGAGAGGAGCTCACTTTCTTCGAAGTGTTGATCACCCCCTACCAGGTACTAAACCGAGATGCAATAAGGTATCTGGTGAACACACCCCTAGGATACAGCCAGATCATAAACAATTAGAGTTTATGAGTTGCATGCTCAGAAAACTCTCTAAAAACACATCATCTAAACTGTTCTTACTTAAAGGAAAAATAAACATCAAAAGAAATTCTATGAGTTCATTTTTTTGGAAAATACCTCAAATCCCTCTTCAAAATGTTACTGGAAATTTCCATTAACCTCACTCCCTTCACTCTCCCAAATGCATACATCTCCATCTGCTTTCTCTCTCTTGCCCAAGGCTTATATAGTAGAGAAATAATATAATATAGGGAGGGTAGAGAACTGGCAACTAAAGAGAGAGTGAGAGAGACATGGAGAATGTGTAATGCCAAGTGCATGGACACTTGTCCCCAATGAGGGCAAGGAGGTGAGGTTACCATGACCAAGCAACAATTAAAAAATAAATAAGACAAAACAAAAAGGTGGGAGGAAGAAGTGGTGGTCCATGCATACCAAAAGAGCATGATGTACTATCACCAATATTAACATTAAAAAGGATTTTGAAACTACAAAATTTTCTAAATAAAAACTAACAATCCCCCACCAGTTTCAAAAACCTATCAGACAGGCAGAAAAGAAGTAAGATCAGGAAAGGAAATACATAAGTGAAGGTGTTATTCAGACTTGAACCTCTACATAGTGTTATACTGAACACTTATCAGGACAGTGAGTGGACGAACCTTGAACTATGTCCATAAAAGATAAGCCTCCCATATACCACATATTTCCTTTCAAAAGCTATGATTTTCTTAAAGGCTTGCGCATTAAAGGCCATGCTCTCTACCTGGTTTTCATAAGCGCTCTAGGGAATGGTTAGTTCCCATAGGAAGCAACCTCCACTTCCACACTCATAAAGGTGAGTCCAAGGAAGATGTTTTGCAATACAACATCCTAGCCTAGGCCTTACATCATCTAGGCAAATGGAATCATTAAGAGCAAAGCTCAACCTCTTGATTCATTGCAGTAAATGTACCACGCGGCCAGGGATGGGGTAGAAATTTATAAATTTCCATAATATAAAACTTTTGTGGTACCCACAACCATCATACATCACACGAGCGACTTATTTTCCCCTTGAACATTTGTCTTGGGATCTCCTTATCCTAGGTAGGGTCCCATCGCCTTGTGGCATAAATTCATTTGGGCTCAATCCCATCCCTCTAGCTTTCTTCCAGACTTGGTGCCTTGCAAGGTTTTTCGCAAAATTCTACCAAGTGCTAGGTATCGCTCATATGGAGTACAACTGACTCCATTTCAAGCATAAGTCTCAACTGATTTTACCTCTAGCAAGGAAAACTGGATTTCTCGAAGTAAATCCCTAACCATATGTTTGGTATACAAAACTTCATAGTCACATCGTATGAGACTGCAAGCCTGGGACTTGAACATGTGGTACGTCTACCCGCAAGTTCCTTAGCCACTTAGCCTCTTTGCTAGCGACTTCCAAGGCTATTAACTCCGATTCCATCGTAGATTTGGAGATACAAGTTTGCTTCTTGGAACCCCAACTGACGGCACCCTCACCAAAGGTGAAGATCCATCCGCTAGTAGACATGGATTTCTTCCGAAACCGTAATCCAATTTGCATCACTGTATCCTTCGAATATAGCGGGTTCACCCACATAATGCAGGCCATAGTCTATGGTTCATTTGAGATATCTCAGTACCCTGTAGACTGCATTCCAATGCTCTTGACCTGGGTTATTGGTATATCTACTCAGTTTACCCACAACAAAGGCTATAGCTAGTTTAGTGCATGACATTGCATACATTATACATCCAATGACTCTGGCATTGTCCAATTGAGAAATAGGACCTTCACGGTCTTTGAGTTTCATATGAGCATCATAAGGGGTTGAAATTGGCTTGGAATCAAAGTGATCAAGTCTTTTGAACACTTTCTCTATATAGTGGCTCTGGGTTAAGACATACCCAGTCGGTAGTTTCGCTGTTAATTCCAAGTATCACATTAGCTAGCCCCATGTCTTTCATATTAAATTCAAAAGACAAAAACTTCTTTGTGTCCTTAATGCATGCAGTATGGCTGCCTAGTATGAGCATATCATCTACATACAGGCAAACTATTACTACTTTAAGGACAAATCCCTGTGGTTGCTCAATGTAAATTTCTTCATCTAGTTCACCAATTTTACGTTTACAATGTCAGGCTTCATATTCATTATCCCTTTCACCAATAAATGTGTGTTCAAACAATTCTACATCCTTGGACTCTATGATTACATTTGACTCGAGGTCCAGAAGTCTATAGGCTTTGCTATGTTCAGCATAGCCCATAGAAACACACTTTATAAATCTAGGTCCAAGTTTGGGTCAGGGAGCGTTACCAAGGCTGCACATCCCCAAACCTTGAGAAATTCTAGATGAGCTTTCCTAACTATCCAATTTTCATATGGTGAAGCACTAGAATTCGAATATGGTATACGGTTTAAAATGAAACGAGCAGACATAAGGGCTTCTCCCTAAATATTAGCAGGGAGGTTGGAACTGATGAGCATCGCATTGACCATGTCCATAAGAAAGTGATTTTTCCTTTCAGCTAAGCCATTATGTTGTGGTGTGTATGGGGCAGTAACTTAGTGACTAATTCCATTTTTTTCACAAAAGTTAGTGAAATCAGGGGAACAATATTCACCACCTCTGTCACTTCTAAGAACCTAAATATTAAAATTTAGTTGCTTCTCAACTTCTGTTTTGTAAACTTTGAATTTCTCAAATACTTCATCTTTGTTTCTTATCAAGTAAACATAGGTGTATCTTGAGAAATCATCTAAGAAAGTGACAAAGTATTTCTTCCCACCACAAGTTTGTACGCCTCTCAGATCACAGACATCACTATGAATTAATTCCAGTAACATGGAACTTCGTTCCCTAAAGGTCACTTCTAAGAACCTTAATATTAAAATTCAGTTGGTTCTCAACTTCTGTTTTGTAAACTTTGAATTTCTCAAATACTTCATATTTGTTTCTAATCAAGTAAACATAGGTGTATCTTGAGAAATCATCTAAGAAAGTGACAAAGTATTTCTTCCCACCACAAGTTTGTACGCCTCTCAGATCACAGACATCACTATGAATTGCTTCCAGTAACATGGAACTTCGTTTTGCCTTAGGAAGGGGTTTTCTTTTGATCTTAGACCGTATACAGACTTCACACAGAGTATTCTCTAAAGTCGCACACTTTGGATTTAGGTCTAAACTACTCATCTTTCTTAATGCATGATAATTGACATGTCGTAATATACCATGCTATAAGGAAAGAAAATCAAGCATATACACAGAAGAAGATGTAACTATTTCATTATGAAGATTGAGCTTGAACATGCCTTCCGAGGCGTAGCCCATTCCTTCAAAGGCATCATTTTTCGACAAGATAAACTTGTCGAACTCAAAGACAAGTTTGAAACCGCTCTTGTTCAAAAGATATGCAGATACTAGGTTTCTCCGGACTGCAGTGGCATGAAACACATCCAGAAGGGTAAGGACATTACCGGATGTGAATTTTAGTTCAACCGTCCCTTTGCCAACAACTTTAGAGGAGGAAGAGTTACCCATATACAAGACAGCGTCGCCCCCCACCATTTTGAAAGTCCTAAAGAAGTTCCTGTTATTATAGATGTGTTTAGTCGCACCTGAGTCCACCCACCAGTCTGCAGTGCTCTCTATTTCATTGACTTCGGAGATCATGGCAACCAATTTTTCTTTGGTCACGTTGGCTTGAGCTTGTAGCTTCTTTCTGGTTTTGCAAAATTTTTGCACATGGCCAATTTTGCCACAGAAGAAGCATACCAAGGGTTTCATTCCTTTATCCTGGGTTGTCTTCGGGTTTACATCTTTGGTGTCTTTCTTTTCTTCTTTCTTTCCTTCCATCTTGATTCCTTTATGAGTTCTTGGTTTCTTTCTTCTCGTACCTTCAATTGTATGAGCTCTGGTGACCATATGAGATTTGTATTCTTTGGCATCTCGGAGTTTGGTCTCTTCTTCAATTCTCAGATGGGTCATTAACTGTTCGAGTCTAAAGTCTTTAGACTTATGCATCAATGTATTTCTGTAGTATTGCCATGAAGAAGGCAATTTGTCAATTATTGCCCCAACATGGAATGCATCATCAAGTTTAATGCCATTCGACGCAAGTTCATTTGCCATGATTTGAAAATCATGAATTTGAGCGAATATCAGTTTTTCTTCTGTAATTTTAAAGTTTAAGTATCTGCTAATGAGATACTTCTTGTTGCCAACATCTTCTTCTCTATATTTAGTTTCCAAAGCTGCTCATAGTTCCTTTGCAGTTGGCATTCCTGAGTATAGATCAAACAACGGATCATTTAGAGCATTCAGGATATGCCCTTTGCAATTATAATCATTTTCGTCCCATGCTGCAATTTCTTCGGTAATCCGATCTGCAGAAGTCTAATTACCGGTAGGTATCAAGGAAGTACTTGGAGCAATAGGCTATGGTTCTCTTAGCACATATTCCACTTTTAAGGTCTTAAGTAAGAATAGTACTTTCGACTGCCATTGTCTTTAATTAAGTCCATCAAAACAGTCTAGTTTGACAAAATCTTGGGTCATAGCTTTAAGCGAGCTTCCATACCGATAAGCTTTGCACTAACTCCCCTAAACTGAGATAAAGCTTGGATTGTACCAGAACGCTCCTAGTACCAATCAGCCCGTAGGAGTCCGAATCTGGATTTGGAGGTTATATCTGGAAAAACGAAACACTTCTAGTGCCAGTCGGACTCCCGTAGGAGTCAGAATCTGGATTTGGAGGTTATACAATGGAAAAGCGAAACACTCCTAGTACCAGACGGACTCCCGTAGGAGTTGGGAATTTGGATTCGGAGGTTACACAATGGGGCAACAAAGATCGGGATCTGGAGGCACGAGAGGAGCTCGCTTTCTTTGAAGTGTTGATCACCCCCTATCCGATACTAAATCGAGATGCAATAGGGTATCTGGTGAACAAACCCCCAGGATATAGCCCGATCATAAACAATCAAAGTTTTTGAGTTGCATGCTCAAAAAACTCTCTAAAAACACAATATCTAAACTGATCTTACTTAAAGGAAAAAGAAACATCAAGAAGAAATTCTATGAGTTTATTTTTCTTGGAAAATACCTCAAATCCCTCTTCAAAATGGTGCTGGAATTTCCATTGACCTCACTCCCTCCACTCTCCCAAATTCATACATCTCCATCTGCTTTCTCTCTCTTGCCCAAGGCTTATATAGTAGAGAAATAATATAATATAGGGAGGGTAGAGAAGTGGCAACTAAAGAGAGTGAGAGTGAGAGAGAGAGAGAGAGAGAGAGAGAGAGAGAGAGAGAGAGAGAGAGAGAGAGAGAGAGTAGTAGTAGTAGTACGTAGTACGACGTACGTACGTACGTCGTACGTCGTACGTACGTACGGTACGGTACGGGACGGTACGGGTACGGTACGGTACGTACGTACGTACGAACGAACGAACCTAA